AAAACAAACAACACCCCCACCCCACCCCATCAGAATTTAATCTGAATTAAGGTAAGCAAAGCAATCAGACTCCTCATCTCACATTCCAAACTCAACCTTAACCCAGGTAAAATTCAAATGACATTTTTCTAATTTGTATTTTAAAGAAAAAATTAGATATTCAAAAGGCCAAAAATGAGCATCTACTTCTATCTCAGCAGCACAGAATGCTTTAGTAATATTTGAGCATTTTAACTCTAGAAACCTTTAAAATTTTCACAGAACTTTAGTTATAAGCAGAAGCATTCTTGTCTGCTGTATTCAGGTTTACTTCCTCACTCTTTTGTTTCTCTCCTTGTGCACCTGAACAGTGTGTGGTACAGGTGAACTCCAGGCTTCAATACCCATGCACACCATGCACATGTACCTGAAAATCCCCGTTTTTGTAGACTTACACTTAGGTAAAGTTCTACAGTCACTTAAGTCTGCATTGTAACTGTGGGTAAGCTCATATCAAACCTTGCATTAAATAGGTGCTGGCTCAAGTGTTAAACACAGACCAGAACTGTAGCTAGTCCAGTGCTTAGGGCATCTTTCCACCACTCACACCAGGAGATTTCTTTTCCTCTTCTCCCATTCCCTTCCTCCCAGCTGCTGCATGCCGTTTCTCACCAGTGTTTCCCAGTGACTTGCAGACCACCCTACTGCAGTTTACACTAAATGAAACCAGAAGCTCATCATAATGGGCCTCATCATGGCTAAAGCCTGTGCCCCTGCATACCCTATCCCAGGACCCCTCTGCACCCAACAGCAGATGCTTGTTTCCATTCGTGGTAACACTCTACATTGTTGCTGCTCTGTTCCTCAGCCTGTCTCTTCAGCTTGCCCTTGTTAATACCTGCAAACATCTGGAACTAATGTCAGCAGACGTGGCAGTCTAAGTTGCTACATGTTGAGCTGCATAACTGTGTGCAAGGACTACACTCCTAAAGATCTTTACAGCAGTGCTGAAATCTGTAATGCTATGTAATAGTTTCATAGCAGTACTGAAAAGTATTCATTTGACACTGTTGCAGTTATTTGTAGACAGGTACTCTTTTCCTTATGTTTAATTGGCTGAAAATAATGTGCTTGTATGTTAGAAGGAAGATTTACAAAGTCAGTTTTATAAAGCATTTGTTGATCTTCTACTCATTTAATCACATTTAAAATAATTCAGTAAAAAATCCCAGAAAAGATAATAAATAGGCTAAACAATTTAACATGTTTCTGATGGAAAGGACACTTGTACAAACTGTCACGACAGGAAAATGCTCTACAAATACTAAGTATCATATACCGTAAGAGCGATACCCAAAAGTTAGAACCAGTACACTGTAGCTGGCTAACTAAGTACTGCTGGCACTGTTTTACTCCACAGCCCAGGTAATAAAAAGACCAGGCATTAACACATATATATGTAGGCCAGCCTGGATGTGCATATTTCAAAGGAAGATGACATAAGTAGATATTGCTTTGAAAAAATCTTCCATACCTTGAACTTTAAACATTATACTCCAAGTAAGTAAACATGAAGATAGGTCATATTTTGAAGGTGAGAAGCTGCACAGAATTGGAAGTCATAGCAAGATGAGGTCTTGGCTGTCACAGATTACTATCTGCTGAAGAGGGGTAGCTTGAGCTGGAATTTTTGCTTTATCCAGCATTATTTCTAAGTAAGTGTGGCCCACTCCTTAATTTCTACAGTAGTTCTAGTAAATATGGCCAGACAGAGGAATAACTGTATTGTAGGCCATAGTTCTAAACCAAAACAAGAACAAAAAATGGAATGAGAGTGCAGAGTCAGACCTTAATCCCACCTGTCTCATGCAGGAAACTTCACTGGATTAACAGTCACCATCACCTACAAATATTTATCATTTTGTTTTACAAAATTGAGCCTATACTCTTCAGCTGCGTTCTCTTCTTCAGCTGTCCATTCTAGTGTAGGTTCTTGTTCAGCTCTGCTACACTGTTCACATGATGTGAAGAGGCTGATTTTTTAATTCAAACAGGAAACAGAGGAACTGCATCCAGGATTGGTACTGCCTCTCTGTCCTTCACGATTATGGAAAATGCTTGGGACAGCAGGTTGTGTTGGGAATATACCAAAGATTTGCCCTGCATTGTTCCTGACTATAGATTTAGGGGGCTTCAGTAGACTTTACTCACTGTATCACAAATTAAAGCAGGGGCTGGGGGGAGAGTGAGGAGGGGGTGTCCCTACAGAAGAACTCTGTTTCCCATATAACTCTTAGTATTTCAGTTGGTCACTGAATAGCCATTTATTGCCTTGGTCTTCTTTGAATTTACAGTTCAAAGACAGCCTTTTAAAAAAATAAAACCAGATAGTGACAGCAATCTGTGCCAGTCTGTGTTATCTCCAACAACAAAACTCCACTTTCCCCAGTCAGGAGCAATTCTACAGAGCAGTTCTCTATTTTAAAGATCTTCAGCATGCAGAGTATGAAGAGCAATTCATATGCCATCCATCACAAATCTAATAGACCTAAGAGCTCAATAGAAAAGAAGGTTTCTTTTCAAATTTCACTCTAGCTACTCACATTTTGGTTTGCCTTAAGATTTTAATTATTTGATTAAAAAAACCTAGAAGCAATTGAAGATCAAGAAGCACACTAAGGAAGACATTTTCAGGCTGGATTTCAGAGATTTAACTGCAAAACTCACCTAAATGCTACAGGAGATGTTTAGCTAAATGCTGAGCACAGCTGTAATACCTTATCCCTAAAGGTCTGAAACAGCCAGAGAGAGTCTGAGTTGGAAGGTGAGAAAGTCCAAGTCAGATACCATCCTAGCAGTGAAGGTGCCTCAGAGCTGAATTTGCCTTTGAAGTGGAAAGTGGAATAGAAGAAAGGGTGATGTCCTAAATGCGTTCAACTTTCGCTAAGGTCACTAGCATGAAGTGGCTGAGTATAAAATAGTGAAGACCAACTTTCAGGAGGTTTTT